ATGTACCTGGCACGCTGCCTGGTGATCGAAGCTTCTCGATCAATTCTTCTTCTTTGAAAACTCCCTTTTCCACTATTTTAAAACTCACAAATATCGCGCCTTCCTAAATGAATGTTAAAATAATCTAAAATGTTTTAAAATCCTCCTACAAATGCTGAAGTATCCTTAAAAAAAGCTTCCTAATAACTAGAAAATAAACTAAAAGGACCAGCTTACAACTTATAAAAATAAATTTATGAGAATGGTGAGCAAAAGACTGCTATAAATACAGTGCCTGTTCGAGTGATGTTGAATGTGGTGGCATAGATCCCGGCACAAGACCGCCAATATCCGCGTGATGTCCACGATTTGCAACAAAGAAAACTGGTGTTTTCGAATGTTTATGATAGACCTAAATAATCAGCGCAATAAGTCTTTTATTACTTCGGGCATTATTGGAAACTGGAGTTATGCGAACAAGAAGAACTCAGAAACAAGCAAAATGGAAAAGCTGATACTTTTTATTGATGCCGAGAAGGAATAGAGAAATAAAACAACAGTTCTTAAAAATACCAAAAAATAATTTATGCCAAATTTAAAAAATTCCATCCAAACTTTTTATACTCAAAGTTCATGTACTTTCCAGCTTAGCAATCCACAAAAGGTAAATCGTACCGGTGTTAACACTGTTAAATCAGGTAGATGCGAACCACCAGCTTTCGGATGATTGCACAAAATAACATCACCTTCGGATATCCCATCATAACTAAGGCTTTCCAACTGATACTTGACAGCTGCTTGCATTCCACCTGCATATCTCCTGATTATTTCCCCTTTTTCGCGTCTTGAAATCTGTGCAAGGGCTAGCGTCATTACACTCTACTCTAAATTGTTTTTGCTGCTGCTGTGTAAATGAATAGCGGAATCGAAAGAAGTGACTGTATTCATTTAGCCGATTAAATCATTTAAAGTCAGAGCTGTTTGATAGAAACTGTAACCCTATAATTATGCCATTTCTCTCCTCTCACTAATTCCTAACACTTCGACCTACTCCCCCGCCTTACTAACTTCTAACAATTCCACCAAATTCTAAATGTTTCTGTACTATCTACTTTCCTACTCACTAACTAACTTGCCCTCCTTTTTCCCTCCACTAATTCTCTCTATATAAACCCTTCCTAAAACCAGACCCACAGTCAGTTAATCAGTTAGTTAGTTTTGTGGAATCGTCAGCTTCAACGCCGTCACGCCAAACACTACCAGCCTCAGCTTCAACACTGTCGCCTCCCCGTCTGCTGTTATTATTCTGTTGCACAGCCTGTGAGGTGCTCCGGCTTACCGTTTACGCGTCATTTATTCTGGAGTGAAGTGTTTATGAGAAGAATAAACTGCTGGTGTTTCTCCTCTGTCTACCGCTGCTACAGTCAAGGGTCACGTAACGGGCCTAACAAAACGCTAATTCTCAATGTTCTAACGGTACATCCTTAGCTACTACTACGAGTGAGAGCGAGAAAACTACCAATGTTTGGAATAAGATGAAAGGACGGACTCGAACGTTTACTTGGAACTACATGACCGCGACAAGCTCGTCGTCAAGCAGCGATATTAACAAATGTTACGCAACTGTTTCGCCGATTTAGTTATTTAACGGCCGCCCTCAATTCCCACCTTTCTCTTTTCATTCTCTCACAGCACTGCTCTCACTTTTCTGCTTTCATTTCACCAGCCGCTAAATATAAAGAAAGTGGGGCTGAGACTCTCTGCTCTCAATAAAATATTGTAAACGGAAACTTACCCAGATGTACTGGTATATGTGGTGCATTGGCAACAAGGCCGCCATCCGGACCAAAAAGCGCACATGAAAAATCTAAACGTTCCTG